CCCTCATAGCGCCTGGTAGGTCCGTCGGGGCAGCGGCGTGCCGGGCGTCTCCGGCCCCGAGTCGATGCTGGCGCTGGGCGAGAGGGAGTCGGCGTCGCGGAGGGACAGCCCTGGCTCCTCCGCCGGGGAGAGACGGTCCACGATGCTGGAGAGGCAGTCCAGGCTGGACAGGGCGCTGCTCTGATCGGCGGCGTACCCTGACGCGAACAGGGCAGCGCGTTACCGCGGGGTGCCGCGCTGCCTCCCACAGACGCCCGGGCCCCGCCTCTGCCCCCCAGGCCGCGCCGGGTCCGGTCGGGCTTACCGTGGGCCATCTCGGCGCAGTAGACGGCGTCGAAGCTGCTGCCTCTTGCCGACCAAACGGGGCTGCTACAGTCGGCCTGCAAGACAGCGAGGGGCGAGTGCCGGCCCTGCCGCCCCCGCCCAGAGGCCAGCGGGAAGCTCCCCGAGAAGGGAAAGCGCCATAAAGGCCGGCGGGGAGGGAGCGCAGCAGCCGCCCCCCCCAGCCCGGCTGCTGGCTCTGGGCAGTGCCTTCCCCATCTCGCCCAGCCCCCAGGCTTCCCCTCCAAGGCCGCGCTAAGAGAGTATCGGGGGGACGGCGAGACCCCGGGGGCTGGGGCGCCTGCAGGGTGCCCTCGGGCAGCGCTACAGCCCCCCGCGCATCCCCGGAAAGCCCACGTGCGTGCTCAGCGGAAAATCTGGGAAGGGGCCTGTTCTAAGGCAAACCGCCCGCTTTTCCTGATGTCCGGAGGCGTTCGGCCCGTCCCACACCCGTGGGACTGGTCCCACGGCGTTGGGCAGAGATGGACCTGCCCGCGGGCCCTCTGGGCTCCCCACAGCCCCATGGCTCCTGCCTGTGTCTTACCATCCCATCGGAGCAGCTGGAAGTGGGGCTGGTCGGTTCGGAGCAACTCTGTCCGGGCAGGTGATAGTAGTTTTCTACCTGTTCCCTCAAGAGCTCCTGGAGGCTCTCGATGTATCTGATGGCGTTTCTCAGGATCTCTACTTTGGGGAGTCTTTGGTTGGGGTTGGCAGTGGTGCATCTCTTCAGGGTCTCAAAAGCCTGGTTCACTTTCTTCAGCCTCCTCCTCTCCCTCATGGTGGCTGCCTTCCGCCGGTCTATTGTGGTGGATTTTCTTTTGCAGGCTTTGCAAGCCCACATGAGGCAGTGACCAGCTTGGTGGTGGCCAGAGGGAGCTCGGACATGCTCCTCTTCCTCGGAGCAGGCGGGCTCGGGGGCCTCGTGGGAGCTGAAAGGAGGCAGATCCCTGGGCTCAAAATCCTCAGGGAACTCGCCTTCTGGGGAGGAGAGGCAGGAGCTGTCATAGAAGAGCTCGGACGGAGAGAACTTGCAGCTGTCCATCACCTCCATCCCTGCTGCGGAGGCGTCAGTGCGGGACGGTGGCCACCGGCTCTCGGCGAGGCGCTCCGCAGCGCGCTGGGGCAATTTCCTTCGTAATTAGCGACCCGAGACCAAGTGTCCTTCGGCTGATGCGGGGGGCCCTTATATATACATGGAAAGGGAGGCTGGTCCGCAGCGGCCAGTCTTTATTAGCATATCCCACCACAGCCCCTGCCGGGAGCTGTCTGGGCAAGCCCCCTCCAGTCGCCAGGAGACAATTTGCTCCGCATCGCTCCTTTGGAGCGCCGAGAGATGGGCACTTTTCTAATGAACGACCTCCTATGGACTGGTTGCGAGATCCCCAAATTTCCAACCAAGCCTGTGAATTTGCAATTTGGTATGGAAAGAAAAAGAAGGGCATGGACACACACGAACCACTTGTCAGTGGCTCGTACAAGAACCCTTCCTAGTCCCGCTGTTCCCATCACACGTTTCTTCGGGAGGGACACCTATAGCCTCTACTTCCATATCTTTATTTCCCACAGCCCGTGATCCAGGTATAACCTGAAAAATTATAACCTTCTTCTCAGACCTAAGAGGAGCCTTCTTCTCCTTTTTAATTATAACCTTTCTTAATTATAACCTTCTTCTCCTTTTAAATGATAACCTTCTTCTCAGACCTATTTATCTCAAGGAGCGCTTTGTTCCAGTAATTAAAGTTGTGCCACCAACAGCTGAAATTTACAAATTGGGGGACAACAATGCACTGCTACTTGTGGCCAGGAGAGACAAGGAGGAGGGAAACCAGATTTTAGTGCTGTCGAATCGGATCACAAGGAAAGGTACTCACAAAAGAAAAGTGTATATGTTTGCTCAGAGACAAATCCCCTTCCCATTCTTTCTCCTACTCTTCTGACCTGAAGCTGCTAGGGACACAACTGTCAAGCAGTGCCTTGGGCTTGCTAATTTTCTGCTTTCAGGCAAACTTGTACCGTTACAGATGCGTCCCAGCTGCCAGTGCAACAAACCCCTCCTGGAAGTGTAAAATTTCTAACCCCGCAATCCCTAAGTAACTTTACACAAGGGGACAAAAGCCTTGCAGAGCCCCAGCCGCAGCAGTAGCCGAGCGGAGTGGTGCAAGGGTCATTAGAGTGGTAATGAAGCCATTTAACAGGCATTTGCTAACGCGTAGGAATCCTTTGGTTTCATCCAGGTGGCTTTTGTAGCTGAGGAAAATATTATGAGAAGGGAAAGGAAACCTTCCCTACCTGGGAAAAAAATTATGTGACCTAAGCTAACTTAAACGGAGAGCAAATGACCCAGCAGCGGTTCAAACGCTACGGAGCCGGTTTGTGCGCCCAGGAAAAAGGCGCCTTCAGTTAGCCTCCCTTAAGGAAGAGGTAGTGTGGTGGCACGGAGAGCCAGGAGCTCGCTGGATTGTCTCCAGGAGCAGCTGATCAAGTGAGCAAGGCGGGTAGGGAAGTAGCTCCTGAGAGAGATGCTCTGTGGCAGCGCACGCCGCCGGGAAGCCCTGCGATCCACACGGGCAAGGCGGAGAAAGGCAAGCAGCTCGGCCTGTGCTGGGGATGGAGGGAACCCATCCTTGTTTCTCTGCTACCACCACCCTTGAGCCCCCAAAGGCGGATTTCCACTCTTAGGCTAAATTTTTTTCCTAAAAAGCAACCCTGCACACACCTTCCTACGAAAGGATGCAAAATTCTCTAACAGCTGGGGAAGGCTACATCTGCACTGCTCTGGTTTATTTGGGGCTGTAAACACGGGGAGCCCCCTTTGAAATGAATACTCTATGAAAAGCAGGGAGTTGATAAAGGAGTAAAGTTACAGAATGGGAAAGCTCAGAATTTCAGGTTTCTGCCGCTCTGAGGTGCAGGTTGCTGCTTTGTTGGGCCACATCTGAAATAGGACAGTTCCCTATTGTTTTCCTAAGACAGCATCAGTCAGGAGGGGTTCTGCTCTGCAGTAACTTGAACTCTTCACTGGGCTGTGGCGTGCACACACACAGACACACAATTTCGTTTACCACATTTGCGCTGGCTAAAATAGACCTGTTTACATATTTATGCTCCGTGCACAAATAAACTTGATCTTTAAAGTGCCGGTTGCAGTTCCGATCACCTTTCTGGGTTGGTGCATGCTTGGTTTCTCTCCAAGCATGCACTGTGGATCTCCCGGTGAACAATGCCAAGCCCCTCAGTCCCGCTCTCCTGGCATGCAGAGCTTTAGCTCGCAGATTTGAGATCAACTCAGCGGAGCTCGGGCTGTTAAGAAATGTGTTTTTCCCCAAAAGTTTTGGAGGAGCTGGAAAAAATTCTTTCCTTTTTCCTTGAATATTTTTGGGGAAATGGAGGAAACCACGAAAGGGCCTGCCACTCAGGAAGAAAAAAAAAATAAATCAGTAATTAGTATCCCTTAAGGAGCCCCCGGCTCCTCTGGTAAAGTGATCTCAAAACAAATTTGAAAAAATGCAGTAGGCGAGTGGAACTAAAGAAAGGGGGGAGAAAACACGAACTACAAGGCTGGCTAATGAGGCTGCTGGCGAAGGGCAAGGTGGGGGGAGGGAGAGGATAGTGCTGCATTTCAGGAGGCTCAAGTCCGGAAAGCGGGAACAGCCTTAGCATCAGACACTATCTGCTCCCGTGGAGTGGCAGGGAGAAAGTGGTGAATGTGTCAAGATCCCTTTAAACGGTGTTCCTCGCCCCAGCCCTCCTCACTCGTCAGGAATCGTCGTGCTGCACCTATTTCCTGGATGGATTCCATCCCATATGGGCACCGTTTGCAGAGCGGGCCATCTCTTCCCAAGTCCTACGCCTTTCTATTTAAGAGAAGAGAATCCTACCGAAACAGTAAGTCACCGGACTGAGGGGGTGAGAGGTGTTTGCGGTGCCCCCGAGCGCACCCCCAGCCCCGGAGTTCCGGAGCGCCTTTGCGCTGTGCCCTGCCGGCCTCCACGGAGCGCACACCGGGCCCGGCGCAGGGCGGCCAGAGCGTGGAGCTCGGTGCTGCCGCTCCTCTCCGCTCGGCTCCCGCCGCCCGCGGGTACCGGCAGCGGCAGCGAGTGCTCCTCTGTGATGCCCCGAGAGCAAAATTGTTTCCCACTCGGGCTGGTGGGGCCGGGCGCTTCCAGCCGTGTGAGAAACGTTTGGTTCCCCCCAGCGCTGGGAACAGTGAGCACCTAAGTAAACACATTAGTACCTGCCAGAGGGAATTGTATAGAGGACAGCTGAAGAAGGCATTGGCCTCTGCTGGCTCCCCGGGACTCCCAGGAGAGATCAAAGGGACACGAGGGGGTTTTTAGCAGCCTTGAGACTGGGAAAAGTTGCTAGTTCCTGCTATCGGAGGGACGTCCCAGCGAGCACATGGTTCAATTATTCAACCTCCTCCCCTCCCTGCCCCCTACACCCATCCTTAGCTCATTCTCCACAGAAAGAAGGAAATTGTAAAAAAATCGTACGGGGTCCCCAAAGCTGCAATGGTCCACCCAGGAATTTTCCCGTGGCGACAATTGTTGTGTCGCCTCTTGATCGCCTTGACTTCGAGCTCAGAGAATGAGCTAAGCCTGCTGCTACATGTTTGCTTCCCTTCCTGGACTGCGGACGATTTCACCGAGGAAAATAAAGATGCACAATATAAAACCCAAAACAAACCAACCAAAAAACCCCAACAAAATAAAAGAGAAAACCCAAACCAACCAAACAAAAAATAAACCAAAACAAACCCCCAAAACCTCAAACTAAAAACAAGGCTTTAAACGCTCGGTCGCGTCCCTTCAGAAGAAGGCGGTGTCAACGCGGCAGCACGGCCGACAAGGCACCCCATTCCCCCCTTCCACTGCCTTCCCCATGTCGTTCCCGGCCCCACAGGCACCTCTGGCTCTGCACGCCGGGACGGGCACCACGCACCGCGGGCCGGCGGAGCCCCGCATCCCCCCGCTCCCGAGAGAGCGAGCAGGTGGTTGGTTCCCAGGAGAGCGGAGCAGGTAGAGGAGAGGGAGACTGTGTTGAGCATGGCATTTCCAGCCCGCAGAGGGGAGGAGGGAGCGGCAGGGGCACTTGCATTTGCGTAAAAACTTCTATGACTTTGTGCGTGGTCCCTCCGGAAAAAGACTTCATTAAATCACAAACCTCTTGTCTTTACCCAGTTATTGCCCTTTGATTTTGTGATTCCAGGGCCCTGTTTGCTTTGGCTGGGGACTTAAGTAAAGATTATCGTTATTAATATCTAACACAAACATTTTAATTGCAAACACACTGACGACCTTCACTGGGAAACCCTGCATGTCAGCTGCAGCCCCGGGGGTCACGGAGAGTCTCTTCGGGAGGTATTTTCTTTATTTAATGAAAAAACTCTCCTTTAGGCAAACTTCTCCAAACAATCGCTCAAGTTACCCTGCTGCTGGAGGAGACGCTGCCGTGGGGGTCCTGCCGGGCGGACGGGTGGCTTCTTGAGATGAATGCCCGGCTGCGGGCAAATCTGACAGCCGGCTGCCCCGGTGTGGGTGCGACACTGTGGCTTTGGAGGGTGGCCCAGCACGGCTCCTGCCCTGATGAGGGCAGCGGGATCGCCGTGTGAACTCTGTGTAGCCCTTCCCGCGGACGCGGCGGAGTTTGAAACAAATTAGGAAGGAAGGAGAAGAGCTGCAAGCCCGATGTGAAATACTGTCTTGCTGGACAAGTGCCTTCGCTATAGAAGCGAGCTGCAGCGTCTCCTCTCTTGTGCCAGGTCGCAGAGATGGCACGCAGGGCCCAACGCTCCCCCGCGCCGCTTTCTGAAGAATTCGAGAGTTTCCCGAGACAACGGGTTTAATTTCAAAGGAGAAAAAAAATGGGGAAACTTGCATCACCGTGCCCGCCGCAATTACTCCTTGCAAGGGAGTGTCTCATTAGAGCTAGCACATCACTGGTTTAAAAACCCCGCTGGCCACGGCGACACAGAAAGGGTGGTAGGAAGGCACTGCAGATTGGAGAGTCAGCTCTCAGGGCAGGCTCTGCCCAGAGCTTCCACTTCAGACGGGTGTACCCGTGCCCCAGATGGCCAGGGAGGGGGAGGCTTTCCCAAAGCGCGACTGTGACCTTTCAAAAACCAGAAACAAAGAATAAATCAAGGGCTAAAGCTGACGAGGGGACCGCACGCGGGCAGAGTTGGAGTGTCCTCTGTTTACTTGTGCAGGCTGTCCGGCGAGCCCTGTGTGTGTGCCAGGGGCAGAACGCGCTGTTCCCTGGTGGTCGCCCCTTCCCGGGGGTACAATCTGTCACAAACCGTAACGCGCTGGCTGGGAGCAGCTCCGTTCCACCATCCTCAGAGAGGCTGTGGTTTTTTACATCACTGAGTGAAAGGCTTCATATGCTGTTACCCCCCCAAACCCTTTCGGTCGCTTAACTCTTTCCTCCCTGAAGGACCCCATTCCCTTCTCCCGCAGGCTCAAGGAAGTCAAGGGGAGTTACCTTTCCTGGGAAGAAACTACAGCTCCCTCCAGCCCCCGAGGGAGCGGGCTTCTGTCACGGCCAGTTGCTGTACCATTAGTGCAGCAGGCCCGTCATTTTTGCCGCAGACCAGCCCTGCGTTCAAGTCCTCGGTGTCGAGAGGAGAAGGTGAGACACACTGAGCCTCTCCCAGCTCAAGGACCGGGGCAGGAGGTCGTGGGGGGGACGACGGGCTGGGGTATCTCCTTTCATGGCCCATTTCTAACCTCACCTTCCACGAGCAGGGCAAGGCCGGGGAAGCATCTTGGCCTGGCACGGTTCTCGAGCGGCACTGTTGGACATTTTAGGGGAGCAATATCGCTTTCCAGGGGGACGTGCGTTCCGAAAGCACGGCGAGGAACCGAGCCGCGGAGCGCTGCGGGCGGCCGGGGAGGCGGCGGCTCCTGTCCGTATAACCCGTGCCCGCCCGGCTTCCCCGGCTCCCACGGGGAGATCCGCACCGCGGGTGCGGCCCTAAAGGGGGACAGACGGTCCTTAGAGGAGTCAGCGAAGGAAAAATCTGTCCCGTGTCCTGCTTCCAGTCACACGGGTCGTGCTTCTGCTACATGGGTCTGACTCTTCTGGCCTTCGTCTCGCTGCAGTCAGTGGTGGGTTTTAACTCCGGGATCGGGTTATTTTATGAAATTAAGAGGACGGGAGGAAAACACTGTAACACAAAGAGCTTTATTTTACAATCCAAGAAATCCATCTGTTCTTATATACAGTATCACATTCCGCCATTTAAATATATATGTTATGTTTACAAAAAAAAAAAAAAAAAAAAAAAAAAAAAAAAGACAGTACTGAAATTATTTACAGGAACAAAACGAGGCGGGAACTCTTTAAATATGACTCACACGCAATGCAACCAAGAGCTTCACTCAGACAGGAATGAACTTCCCGGTGAGTCTCAGACAAAGCGGATCACCGGTACATAGGTAAGTATCTTAAATTAAAAAAAAAAAAAGGAAAAAAAAAGGGTGGTTTATGCAACACAATATAAAGAAAACAAACCTCGGGAAAAAGAAATGAGAAGGCAAGAAGGAAGTCTGTCTGGCTCGAGTCGGTGGGAGCCATTTTCTTTAGGGTAGGTGTACCTTTGATTGGATCTTAAAAAGGCCCCTGCTTGGGCTTTCCACTGTGTGAATTTGCTTGGTTACTTAGTTTAGAGGAGACAGGGTGGAGGCTCCATCTCCTTTAAATACACTACCACAAACCCGGGTTTATTTCTCCACCGCTTCCTCGGCGCCGGGCAGTTTGGGATCGTCGGAGGAAATACTGTCCACTATTGAAGAGAGGCAGCGAAGGCTGCTGGAGGCCGACGACTCGACAACGGAGACTCCTGCTCAACGAGAGAAAAGGCATTACAGAACAGACCCCTCCTCCTCGCCGGGGCTCGGCTGCGGCTCCCGGCTGCCGGAGAGCCCGGGCAAAGGAGGGAGAGTGAGAGCCGGGCCGCTGGGAACGCGGGGCCCCTTCCCGTCGGGGCCCGGGGGCGGCGGCCCAGCAGGGCCGGCAGGGCGAGTTACCTTCTTTGGGGCTGA